CTATAGATTTGTAACTACATTAAAAGATATTAAGGCTGTATAAAGAGAGAATCTAGGAAACATCAAAATTAAAGTGGAAATTTAATTCTGTCTCTCCTCTTATACAGCAACATTATGGTAGTTTCTAGTTAAAGTATCACATACTATGTCTAAAGTTTAGGACTATCCTGTAAGGTGCTGAGGTGCCTTCTGAGACCCATCAACTTCAGTGGGATTTTAGGGCACTCAGCATTTGTCAGGTCCCTCAGTGCACTGGTTGGACAGTGTCCATGTGCATTGAATGGAGTGAAATGTAGTGAACAAGATAGGGATCCTTCAGATCCGTGCCTTATTTGGGGCCAAACTTTATTTAGCAACAGCAGTATGAATAGACTGGAGTGGAGTGAGTTTAGCATCTAAAAAGACCTGAGTAGAGAAGATTACAGTTGTAGAGGAGGGAGATTATTAGGGAAATTTGGCTGTTAGGATAGAAAGTAAGAATGATGCCCCAAATTGGTAACACATACTGTCATGTGGTACCTTTCTTGCCTACTCTATTCTTGTAATATTTCAAAATCATTTAACTTGCACTTGAAAACTTAGTCTCAAAAGGTTGAGCAAATTCATTGTGTCTTAATTCTTTTAAGAAGCCATAAATATAAGTGGGGAGTCTATATTCTGTGAAAATCAGAATGTATAGACACAGTGGTTATGTTGAATAACATGGAATACATTCTCTGGAATGGGTATTCAAGTGTAACAAGAAGAATGTAGCTAAAATAATAGAATTGACTGGGAAGTCACCAGGGCCGGCTCTGGCTTTTTTGCCGCCCCAAGCAAAAAAGCCTCCCGCCGCCCCCCCCCCTCCCCGGGAGCGTGGCAGGGGAGGGTGCCGAGCCCGGCCGCGGGCCGCTCTCCCCAACTGGCCGGAGCGCCGGGGGGAGGGCGGCGAGCTCGCCGCAGCTCTGCAGGCGGCCGGAGCCCCAGGAGGAGGGCGGAGAGCCCGGCCGGGGCTCCGCTTTCCCCAGCGGCTGGAGCGCCGGGGGGAGGGCGGCGAGCCCAGTGCGGCTCCACTCTCCCCGGCGGCCAGAGTGCCGCCCCAAGCACAAGCTTGGTGGGCTGGTGCCTGGAGCCGGCCCTGGAAGTCACTATTTTAAAGATTTGTTAAATAATACTAAACTGGTTTGCTTGCCTAGTTGAATAAAATCATTGTACAAGGTAAAATGGACTTGTACAGCACTTTGTAGAATGCCAGAAATGAAGATATAAGCATTATTTGAATAGTGTTCAGAAAAAATATTCTGCATGTCTACCATATTGTGCATTGTGGCTGTTTACTGGAGCAATAAATGATAAACAGAAGTTTCAGAACTGAAAATAAACGTCAGAAATGTATAAGGATGGATGGCCTGTAATCTTTAGAGTTTACCTATATCTTGTTTTTCTAACAAATATTCCATTCTTTCATTTTAAAAAAATCATTGTTGTACAGAGAATGTGAAAGTATTTAGACCTTGGATGTTGCACGAGAACTTGCAAGATGAATAGCAAGCACGAGTGAAGGCTAGATATGAGCTCAAGTACAGTTAGGAGTATAGAACATAAAACTGGAAGGGACCTCCTTGGTCATCAAATCCAGTCCCTAGCTACTGCAGGCAACTCCATCATATAATCCCATTCATAAATTTATCAAACTCTGTCTTAAAAATAGTTAGGTTATTTGTCACCATTGCTTCTATTAGAAGTTTATTCCAGAACTTCACTCCTCTGTTGGTTAGCAACCTTCTAAATTACACTAGTGACCTGCTTCAATACTGATTGAAGTTGGTGGGTACTGGATCAGGGCGTGGTTTTAGTCCTCTACACCTAGAAGTAATATTCAAGCCTCTTCTGCTCCCTTACACTCATGAGCAGAGGATTAGCAATGCGTGGTATGCATGTGGAAAGTAAACATGAATGAGGAGACATGATTTCAAATGCATTTCTCAACATGCAAATAAAGCATTTATCTATGCATTCCCATTTTTGGCCTTACTCCTAGTTACTAGGTGGGACTAACCTTGTAACCACATAAAAGTACTTTAAAAAATACAAGGTCAGATAATTCCCCTGTGCTCCATGTCTTGCACATCAATTTTTGACATGCTGTTATGTGCATCATTTAACATGTGCTGTGCAATATTCAGCACTTTGGCCCCGATTCAACAAAGTTCTTACGCACAGGTGTAACTTTAAGTATGTGAGAAGTCCCTCTGAAGTCAATGGGCCCTATAGCCTCATGGGGACTGTACTATCAGTTATACTAAGTGCAACAAACACATGAAAAATGCAGTTCACAGTAATGTGCCCAAATGTAATAGTGCCAGTAGATGTGAAAGTAGATCATTTTTAATCATTCGCTAAATAGATCTTCCTTGTTGGACTTGTGCACTCTTCTGTGCAGATCTAAGAGTGTTCATTCATGGAAGCAATATATTCTGATAGAGAACTCCAGTTACTGGTAGGTAAGTTAGCATTCTTTGATTAAACACAGGCACCTGGATTTAGTGTTTCCTTTAAACAAAAATGCAATGCAAAATAATTTTTGTATGGTGTCTTTAGAAAACACTTCACACAGGCTTACAGCTTGCAAATATAAGCAGCATATGCAGGACTTTATTCAGCAGTGGTAGCATCCATACATATGACAACATCTAATAATGGCTGGACATCATAATTCTGTGTCAGGGACACTAGAATATTGGAGGATAGAGAAAAGTTTAAGAGAGTTAGGAGTTAGATTTAAAGGGACATGGTGTTAACAAGCCATAGAGAAGAGAGAGGATTTGAAAAGGGCTTGTCTGATTTTTCTACTACCTCGCACATTGTGAAATCATTTACACCTGTGTAAAGTAAGTGTGAATTGGGTGTAATACACTACCAAATGACCATATAAGATGCAAGGCAATGGAAAAAATCAGGTCTCATGTGTCTGCCCTGAATTATGGACGGGGGGAGAGCTTGGACCTCAAATCAATTACCGAGGTTCAGAAATGGAAGGAGGATAGAATTAAAACTAGTGGAATTCAATGAATTCAGAGAATAGGAAGAGATGAGACTGAAGCACAAGGGACGTGATGTTGAAAAGGCCCCTGGAGGCTACCAGGGAGATTTTGCAATGAGTACAGAAATGGACAAGAAGTTAGTGAAGATTTGAGGATAGGGTTGTGGGACAGGGTGGAATTAGATTTTCCTGTTTCCAGTTATCAGTTGAAAAGAGCTGATGTATTTTGGCCATATTGCAGTTTGGAGATATGAAATAATGTTACAATACCCAAGACAATTGTTGGCTCCATACTCCAGTTGACTTCTGTTATATTTGTTAAATCAGCAGCATAGTGCATTTTGGAGCATCCTATGAAGCAGGAGATGGGGATTCTCAATTTAAGGAGAATTGTACAAGAAAGAGAAGGTGGGGAGGCAATTACAAGTCTATTAAGTGAATGCTGGATGCCTCATTTAGCCTTGCCATTTGGGGAATTAATTTGTATTTCTAGAGTTGTTATCATTACTCTATCTGGAGATCACTTTTATGGCAGTGCTCAGTATCCATTGACTAAATATTGGAGTATTTCCCAGTTGTACTCCAGCTCTTGTGAAGAACAGAAGATTCTTGGCAGCTGAGCACCGATTGCGGGAAATGACCTTGAGGTTTCTGTTGTATGCAGCCAATTCATGAACTTGAATGGGTGGTGAGGGGAGTTGCACTGTTTATTTTTAGTTCCCTGGTAACAAGATTTGTAGCTAGCAAAAAAAGATGAAGGTTTGTCAATATAGATGTTTACAAATGAGAGGAGTTAGACTGGATTTAATTATTTAAAGACATGAAGCCAAATTCAGTCCTGGTGTGAACGAGTGTAACTTCTATTGAAGGCAATGGAAATTATGCCACCTTATGCCAGGGCTGAGTTTGGTCCATTGTTTGGTATTGGCCTATTCCTGTATTATAGGGTTTAACTCTGTAGAGGTGGTTAATCCCTGCATTTTATTTTTTCTTCTATTTCTTTGTTTGCATGTTGATGTAAGTTCTGTTTATAACCCCAAACAAACACCATAACTAAGTTGAAAGTTGCTAAGATATTCCTTGCTTGTTTTGCATTTATATAAAAACATATTTAGTCATTCTATGGCTGTTACACTCTTAAGTGGATTATACTTCGGTGGAGAACATTATTATCTCCTAACATATGTCACCTTCATATAATTGACCCATCTTCAGTGTTTCTCTGAGACAGAATGTAAAGTATTCAACCCAAGGGCTTGGCAGCATGATAATTCCTTGTGGAAGGGGGCAGGGAAGAGGGAGTTTTATGGTTGGAAAATGGAAAATATGGTCTGAACCTCTCCATAAGGCAGTGTGAGATGTGAAAACATTCCTGTTCTCACTGCCAGCAGCTGGTATGCTGATCATATATTCCATAATTCTTAGCAAGGTAGTTAGAGAGCCAAGAGGGGTTCTCTAACGACTACACTCTCAGTGGGGTGTTCCATAATTTCTAGCATGAACTGTTGCTAAGGAACCTCAAGTGTTTCCTTAGCTTCTTTATTAAAAGTTCTTTTGCTCAGTGTATCAGTTCCTGCCAATGGGAGTAGCTGTTTCCCTGTTCTTGTTGCCTTATTAAGGGCTGTTGGTCAGGCTGCAACCTGTCTCTTTGTGTGAAGACCATGAAAGGACTGTAGTATGGATTTGCTTACAACAGATACTTCCTCCTGCAAACAGTTCTAAAGTTAGCAAGGGATACATTACAGGAAGAGGGCTTTAGAGAGGTGGTCTTGAAGGTTCATGTTCTGAAGAACCTGAAGGGTATGGTGTGTGGCAAACTCATGTGAAGTACATACAAATTGAACCCTGGCGGTGTTGCAAAGCCCCAGTTTTATATTTCAGCTCAACGTAGGTAATGTCTGTGTAGATTTTAACTGAATGCATGAAATCTCTAAACACCTGAAGTGCTGTCATCTGAAAGAAATTTCTAATGTTACAGGGATCAGCTTTTAGCACTCAGCCACTTGAAGCTTACAATCTTTTCATGACCACAGCCACTGGTGATGGCATCAAACTGTGGGATTTGAGAACACTGAGGTAAGGCCGGATTACTTACATTAGAACTAAAAAGTCAGATATTATCCTTATTCAGAGTCTTCATACTTTCTTAAACAAGTGAGGTATAATTAGTTAATATCTGTACTATGCTCTGAACATATAAGGCACATGCTAACTATTATATGAAGAAAATGGCTAGCCAGCAGTAGCTACAGTAAACTCAAAAGTAGTTTTTTTTTCTTTATAGTAAATATGCAGGACCTGATGCATCTCCATTACATAAGTGGTTTTTCTACTATTCCAATATAAAACTAGTATAATGGAGTGTGGAATCAGGCTTGCAATCTTGAACTTTTTTTTTCTTTTTTTCTTTTAAAGGATAATCTCAGATTGTTTGTTTAGAATATTAACTGTTTATACAAAATAAAAGTTGCATTTTAGCCCTTGGTTGCCCAGGGAAAGCTCACTAAAGTAGAAGCCATTGAACAGTCAACACTTGTCAACTATTGCCACATATTTACCTCAGATATCACTTATTTCAAATACAAAATAGTATATTGTGCTATGGCAATGACAGTGTTTCCAAAACATCGTGCCAGCCTATCTGTTATAACAGATGCACCATATGAGTTCATGTTTAAAATGGGAATGGGCTTTTATGTAACTAAATTATTATTATGAATCATGTATATTCATCCAGAAATGTATGTGGTGCTTTCTAAAACCAGACTTCCCCTCCTCCAAAATACAATCTAGCACAAGAAAAACTGCCTCCTCCACAAAAAAAAATCCCAAACCAAACAAAAACAAAACAAAAAAAAGGAGGGACAGCTGTTCAGGAAAGGGAAGATTTGGGGAGATCTCTGTTGAGGAGGGTAAGGTATGAAATATTTCTAAAAGAAAAGGGTTTTAGAGAACTGATTTGAAAGAGAGGGGAGGTGCATTAGTTTTAAGTGATATTCTTGAGTTTCTTGTTTGTTTTTATTAAATGTAATGTTTTATAGTTTGCCTATTAGTTTGGTTATTTTGATTAAGGAATACTTGATGTTATTTTCAGTTATTTTCACTTTTTTTGTTTGTAAAAGATCTGCTAAGCCTATAGAAGGGCATGTAAGGTCTTGCCAAAATATGGCGCCTTATTACCCACACCAGTGTCAAAAAGTAATAAAACTGGAGACTTCTGTGGTTGGAAACTATTATGTTCCTATGTTTTTGTAATCAGCTGGTCTAACTACTATTCTAGAAGAGTAATAAATGAGTTGAGAACTTTTCACAGATCACTTACCTGCCTTTTCCTTTTTAAAATATTAATATAAGCAAAGCTAGTGAATGGTAAAGTAGTTAAAAGTAAAAGCTGGGTAATCAATTAAATGCATGTGTCCTGGGGGGGAAGGGAATAATTTATTTATGTTCTTGCTTCTTGTTTAGTTTGGCAGGGTCATTATATTCACTGAGTTCAGATGGCTAAATTAAAAAAATTAAAGCAGGTCCTTTTGTGGCCCATATTTAAAGTACCTGTCTGTAAATATGAACTATAATGCTCACTGGCAGTGACTGCTGTAGTGAAGTTGCAAAAAAGATTGTTATATCCCCAGCTTTTCACTAGCTTATAACTTTCTAAAATGTTCTCCTGTTCAGATGACATTTTCTGTCCTTGCTCTACACACAAGTGGAATTTTCTGGAAAAATTGACTTTTTTTTAGTCATTTTTTTAGTTCATGCAAGGAAGAAAATAGTTTACTCTCCCCTTTCTACCTACTCCAGTAGGTGTTATTCACATAGGCCTGGTCTACACTAGGATTTTATGTCGAATTTAGCGCCGTTATATCGAATTAACCCTGCACCCGTCCACACCAGGAAGCCATTTAGTTCGACATAGTGCTCTCTTTAAATCGATTTCTGTAATCCTCCCCAACGAGAGGAGTAGCGCTAAATTCGAAATGGCCATATCGAATTAGGCTAGGTGTGGATGGAAATCGACGCTAATAGCTCCGGGAGCTATCCCACAGTGCACCACTCTGTTGACGCTCTGGACAGCAGTCCGAGCTCGGATGCTCTGACCAGCCACACCCCGGGAAAATTTGAATTCATTTTCCTGTCTGGGCAGTTTGAAGCGCAGTTTCTGTTTGGACACCGTGGCGAGCTCAGCAGCAGTGGCAGCAGTGGCAACGATGCAGAGCTCTCCAGCAGAGATGGCCGTGCAATCCAATAGAAAGAGGGCCCCAGCATGGACGGATCGGGAAGTCTTGGATCTCATCGCAGTGTGGGGAGATGAGTCCGTGCTTTCCGAGCTGCGCTCCAAAAGACGGAATGCAAAGACCTATGAGAAGATCTCTAAAGCCATGGCAGAAAGAGGCTACAGCCGGGATGCAACGCAGTGCCGCGTGAAAATCAAGGAGCTGAGACAAGGCTACCAGAAGACCAAAGAGGCAAACGGACGCTCTGGATCCCAGCCCCACACATCCCGTTTCTACGAGGCACTGCATTCCATCCTAGGTGCGGCCGCCACCACTACCCCACCCCTGACCGTGGACTCTGAGGATGGGATATTGTCCGCGGCCGGTTCCTCCGACATGTTAGCGGACGGGGAAGATGAAGAAGGAGATGAGGAGGACGAGGCAGTCGACAGCGCTGGCACCGCTGATTTCCCCGACAGCCAGGAGCTCTTCATCACCCTGACAGAGATCCCCTACCAACCGTCCCCCGCCGTTACCCCAGACACAGATTCAGGGGAAGGATCAAGCAGTAAGTGTTTTAAATATCTAAACATTTATTTACAACATAACTGGCATATTTAAAATATTAACAGTAGCTAAAGTGCTTTAAAACATGTAAACATTTATTTACAACAAAACAGGAAGATTTAAAATATTAACAGTGGGTAAAGTGCTTCAAAACATGTAAACAGGAAAGTCAAACAAAAGGGGAATCTGTACAAAGTGTATCATGATTAGTCTGTCTTTGGGCGCCTCAATATGTAGTCCGAACCATTTTCAAAAAATTTCACAATGTCCGCTTCATGATTATAGTGCCCAAAACCCTGCAGTCACTTGTCCCTCCAAGGGCACCTAAGCCAAGAACTGGTCAATGTAACCGGGGATAGAGGCGACATCCTCCGGGGAGAACTCCTCATACGCCTCCTGCAGGTGTTTTTCCAGCCTCATGAGCAGGTTCCTGGGCAGGGAGAGCTTATTAGGCCCCCCGTGGTAGGACACGTTTCCCTGCCACAACGCCAGCAGGTACTCCGGGATCATGGCCTTCCAGAGCAGCGCAGCAAATGGCCCCGGTTTCTGCAGGCTGTCACGAAGCATCCGCTCCTTCTGGCTCGCAGAGACCTTCAGGAGGGTGATGTCTGGCATGACTCCCTGCTGTGAATTAGGTAGGGGAAAGTTAGTATTGGGACTGCTTGCCCGTCCCTTTACAGAACTGCAACCGCCGGTTTACAGCCACGCGGTTTACAGCCGCGAGGGGGTGGGACAGGGCCAGAGTTCATGCTTGCAGGATTGCTGCCAGCAGAGACTCGCATTGCTTTCTATGTGAAAGGAGGCCAGTGCCACTCTTAAAGTTTTAAGCGGCCACAAGTCTACGGCTTACCATGTTTGCCAGCTAGACAAAGTCCGGTGTCCAGCCCTGCTCCTCAGCTCGCCACAGCAAGACCGCAGGCACTGTAGAAGAGGGCCGAAAATTCGACCTTGTCCTCAGTGCGCGTGTGATAGGTGCTCTGCATGGTCTTGTTCACAGAGAAAGACTATGTTCTCTGTTCACAGATACATTGCTCTGTCTCAGGAATTCACTCCCTTTTTCCAATTCCCACAGCCACATCTGCCCAGAGGCTAGCGCACATTAGGAGGAGGAAGAAGAGGACACGGGAAGACATGTTTGCTGAACTAATGGCATGCTCCCGAGCACAGGCAGCCCAGCAGACACAGTGGAGGGAGAACTTGTCCCAAATGCACCGGGCAAACATTGAACGGGAGGAGAGGTGGCGACAGGAGGACAGGCAGGCTACTCAAACGCTGCTTGGACTAATGAGGGAGCAAACGGACACGCTCCGCCGCCTTGTGGATGTTCTGCAGGACCGGAGGCAGGAGGAGAGAGCCCCGCTGCAGTCTCTCTGTAACTGCCCTGCCCCGCCACCAAGTCCCATACCCCCCTCACCCAAAGTCCAAACACGGAGGGGTGGAAGGGGCCGTGAAAAATTTCACTCCACCCCTGCGGACTGCTCTACCACTAGAAGGCTCTCATTCCCCAAAATTTGAAAAGTCCTTTCCTACCCGCCTCACACAAGACCCCGTCCAAGTTTCACGCCCCCGTTCCATGTGCGGTTGTTAATAAAGAATACGTTTCTGTTCATTTCTGTTTCCATCCTCTTCTTTTGGAGGGGAGTCTGTCTGAAGGGGGGGAAGGGGCTTGGTCATTGGACAGGACAGTCACCTTTAGCAGGGGGCAGGTGCAGCAGCAGGGCACATATACAGTGCAGTGACTAGTTATCCTGGTCAGTCTGGGAGGTGGTTTTCATGTTCTGTGTGGTGGTGGGGGGGGTGTTGCTCTGTGACTTGGTGGCGGGGGAGGGCAGTTACAGATCTTATGCAGCGGTCCTTACCCTGGATCACAGAGCCGCGCAGCAGGGGATCTGTAACCCTCCTCCCCCTGCAAGACAGTCACATAGCCGACACATACACGCAGTCCCGGCCAGGAGGGCTGGCAGGCTCCGTTGAAACAACCAGTCCACCACCGCGGAGCCTGTCATTCCTGGAGTTTAGAAGCATCATTTGCATCACAACACTAAACCCGCCCCCCGCCACAGTCTGCGTCCCAGGTTTAAAACATTCCCGCGAAAACAGTAATAAAGACAATGGTGTCCATTAACAAAACAGAACAGATTTTATTTTTTGGGAAGGGGGTGAAGGGGGTATGTGATTGGAGAGGATAGTCGACGGCAACTGGGTAAAGAAACGGGGGCAAGTTCTGCTTCTGTGTCCACAAACTTAAAAGTCACTGGGTACCCTGCTCAGCCTTGAAACTGGCTTTCAAAGCCTCCCGGATGCACAGCGCGTCCCGCTGGGCTCTTCTAATCGCCCGGCTGTCTGGCTGGGCGTAATCAGCAGCCAGGCTATTTGCCTCAACCTCCCACCCCGCCATAAAGGTCTCCCCCTTGCTCTCACACAGATTGTGGAGCACACAGCAAGCTGCAATAACGATGGGGACATTGGTTTCGCTGAGATCACAGCGAGTCAGTAAGCTTCTCCATCTCCCCTTGAGACGGCCAAAAGCACACTCCACCACCATTCTGCACTTGCTCAGCCGGTAGTTGAAGAGTTCTTTTTCAGTGTCCAGGGTGCCAGTATAGGGCTTCATGAGCCAGGGCATTAGCGGGTAGGCTGGGTCCCCGAGGATCACTGTAGGCATCTCCACATCCCCAACAGTTATCTTGTGGTCCGGGAAGTAAATACCTTCCTGCAGCCGTCTAAACAGACCAGAGTTCCTGAACACGCGAGCGTCATGAACCTTGCCCGGCCATCCGACGTAGATGTTTGTAAACCGTCCCCGATGGTCCACCAGTGCTTGCAGCACCATTGAAAAGTAGCCCTTTCGGTTGATGTACTGGCTGGCCTGGTGGCCCGGTCCCAGGATAGGGATGTGAGTCCCATCTATAGCCCCACCGCAGTTTGGGAATCCCATCGCGGCGAAGCCATCTATGATGGCCTGCGCGTTTCCCAGGGTCACTACCTTTGACAGCAGTACCTTGACGATTGCCTTGGCTACTTGCAGGACAACAACCCCCACGGTAGATTTGCCCACGCCAAAGTGGTTCGCGACTGACCGGTAGCTGTCTGGCGTTGCAAGCTTCCAGAGGGCTATGGCCACTCGCTTCTGGACAGTCAGGGCTGCTCGCATGCGGGTGTCCTTGCGCTTCAGGGCAGGGGACAGCAAGTCACAAAGTTCCAGGAAAGTCCCCTTCCGCATGCGAAAGTTTCGCAGCCACTGGGATTCATCCCAGACCTGAAGCACTATGCGGTCCCACCAGTCCGTGCTTGTTTCCCGGGCCCAGAATCGCCGTTCAACAAAATCCACATGCCCCATTGCCACCGTGATGTCCTGGGCGCTGGGGCTCGTGGTTTCTGACAGCTCTGTGCTACTCTCCGACTTCAGGCCCTCACGGCGGTGCCGTAGCCTCCTCGCCTGATTTCTCTGCATCTGCCTCTGGGAAAGGTGTATGATAAGCTGCGAGGCGTTGAGAACGGCCACAACTGCAGCGATGGTCGCAGCGGGATCCATGATCACAGTGCTGTGGCGTCCGCGCTGTCACTGATCTAAAAGTGCGCGAACTGATTTCCCGCCGGCGCTTTCAGGGAGGGAGGCAGGGCGGTAGTGACTGACGGATGACGACAGTTACCCAAAAGCACCCTCGCCACATTTTTTTACCCAGAAGGCATTGGGGGCTCGACCCAGAATTCCAATGGGCAGCGGGGACTGCGGGAACTGTGGGATAGCTGCCCACAGTGCACTGCTTCCAATGTCGACGCTTTCCCTGGTAGTGTGGACTGACAAAGTCGAATTACTGTCCTTAGTGTGGACACACACGTTCGACTTTCTAATATCGATTGCACATATTCGATTTAACTAAAATCGAACTACTCTCGTAGTGTAGACATACCCTTAATCTTGGCACATAATAGGTTTCATAAAGATGTACCATTTTATTCTGTACAAATATATCTGGAAAGTCCATATAATTGAAAATGTTTATAATATAGTGCAGTAATATTTCAAAAACGTCATTCAAGCTGAATTTAGACATATCAAGTTTAAAAGCAATTCACAAATTAATAGTTAAGGTAGGAAAGTGCAGTCCATTGACTGTGCTGTTTCGACATACAGTAGTTGTAGAGAACTATACACTGCATGTTGTGAACTAACAGTACAGAAATAGGCACAAAGTGTCCAGAACTCACATAAGAGATAGAGATAGGAATTTTGGAGCTGTCTGAGTCAAATGAAGTTGGACCCTTTATGTGTATTAACATTAGCGGAGAATTTAAGCACTGGGCTTGAGAGTCAAATTGGTCTACTAAACTGTGGCTGGAATATTTGCTGATTGGGTGATCCCAGATTTAAATTTACAGGAGTGTTTGTCTCTGTCCCAGAAAATTTAAATCTCAAACGGAAAAATTCGAGTTGGTAACTTTACATTCTAACTTTCCAGTTAGAAAACTGGAACTTTATAACTTTACATTCTAACTTTCCACTGTTTCAAATTTATTTTAGTAGATTATTATATTCCTTTAACATCAATTACTCCTATCCAGGGCTGCCTGGAGGGGCGGGGGCAAGTGGGGCAATTTGCCCCAGGCCACGGGCCCCGCGAGCCCTGGCTGAGAATCCCTTTCCTGGCTAGAGGCGCCTTTTTACTTACCCAGTGGTGGTCCGGGTCTTCGGCGGCATTTCGGCGGCGGGGGGGCCCTTCAGTTGCTCCGGGTCTTCGGCGGTGGGTCCTTCAGTGCTGCCGAAGACACGGAGCGACTGAAGGACCCACTGCCACAGACTCGGAGCACCGCTCGGTGAGTATGTCCACTCCCCTGCTTTGCCCCAGGCCCCCTGAATCCTCTGGGTGGCCCTGCTCCTAATCCGCCTGCAAACATGATATTGAAGATTTAATTTCTGGTACTGTATTGGTAACTAGGCAGATGTTGATCTGAATTTAGCAAAACTTCACAAAAATAAATGATTGTAACTATCAACTCTGTAGCTAGTTTAAAAAACTACTTTTTAGCCAGAGTTAATTCGGTTTATTTTAATTCCTCTAAAGGTGTGAACGTCGATTTGAAGGACATATTAACCGCTGCCACCCATGTGGAATAGCTGTCACTCCCTGTGGGCAATTCATAGCCTGTGGATCAGAAGATAAAAGCGTGCGTAATAATATTTTATGACTTTTGTTGCAAACTATAGAGCTGCTTCTAATATATTCACAAAAAGTGTCCTTTCATGCATTCTTCTGGGGCCTTAGATAAGAGCAGAAAAACTGAGATCTTGTGTGCTCTCTTTGAATACCAGGGATCCTATTTCACATTCATAAGACTCTGGGCTTCCCCTCATGGTGTTGGCCAAAATGTCGTCTTCTTTTTACTGTTATGTAATGTGCTGTGTGCCTGTTGGCTGCATTTTCATTTGGTTGAATGTAGAGTGTGTGTGTGTGTGTATATATATATGTATATGTATATATATAATGAGTTTAAGCATTTTGAGATAAACTTTTTACTTACCTTTGAAAAATAGTAGATATGTTTTGGATTCCAAATACCTGAAAGAGCATACATATCTGATTCTTGACACCATAAAGATGTATGCATTGCATCTGACATACAGTGCATTTTCTTTCATGGCAGAGAAAATAATTTTTTTTAAATAGTTCACATTCCATTATTTCTCCTTGAAAATACAACAGACTCTCAAAATTCAGAACAGTTTTTAGAGGCTAATTTATTACATTTTATGCAATGCATGATTCAGAGTTCTCACCACCACTAACAGTGGATGGCACATAGTGCCAGTTATGGCAATTCCTGTGATGTGCATATCTGAACAATAGGAACTGTATAGAAACTACAAACTCATTTTGCGTAGATTGCCAAACTGCCTTCAAGTGGTGATGACTTTTATTAATGGGTTGGAGATGAATCAGTGACCTAAATGAAAAATGAGAAGGCATTTAGCTGTACTTAGATCCCGTTGGAAATGAATCCCAATGGTACAAGTTCAATTGAGGGTGTTCTTGTTTAAAGATGGTTTCTCTTTTCTCATTGGCTAGTACCATCAGACCCTACTGTCACCTGTAATTACTTCTGGTAAATGTGCATTTGTTTTAGATGTAGCAGACACTCTCAAATAAAAGCAGACTATAATTTGTACAAGTATTCAAATAATGTAAATTTTGATAGGCTATGCATTTCTTTGCATAATTTTGACTATACCGTTACGCTTGATAGCAGCCCTTGCGCCATTTCTTCACTGATTCACTAGAGGGTAGTTACTTTCCGGCTGGTGATATATACTTTGGGTACTCTGCACCATGTGGGATCAGGTTTCTATTGAACATAAATCTCCTCAAAGCTTTTTGGTAGGGAATCTGTTTTACTTTCATCTATACTCTTTATAAAAAGCAACAGAGAGTCCTGTGGCACCTTATAGACTAACAGACGTATTGGAGCATAAGCTTTCGTGGGTGAATACCCACTTCAACTGACGAAGTGGGTATCCACCCACGAAAGTTTATGCTCCAATACGTCTGTTAGTCTATAAGGTGCCACAGGACTCTTTGTCGCTTTTTACAGATCCAGACTAACACGGCTACCCCTCTGATACTATACTCTTTATAGTTAACTCTTTAAGGCTATATGAGTAGGATGAGCAAACATTGATCTTAAATTCAGAAGCAAAAGTAACTGCAATAGCAGACTGTTGTTGAAACCCTGGCTCCTAACACCATATGCAGGCAAGTGTTTTGGTGCCTGGAAGATCTGTAGTAATTAAGGTTCTGTTGATATTTCTGTTGTCTGAATGCTGGAAATCTGCTTTTCAAAATGTTCTTCGGGGAAAAAAAGTCATTTTCAGAAGAGAGGGTTTTTTTCCCTTTAAGATGAAATATAATTTAAATTGGTGGTTTGAAGTTTCAACTGTATGCTCATGATTTATATATGATACGTAAATTATTAGTTGGGACTGATAACTAAGGCCCATGATAGGTAGTATAAAAATGCATATGACCAGATGGTAAACCCTGTTCTGCTCCCTTTCTGCATCAAGTCCTGTTGGGATACTGCTGATATGGGAGAGTCCCCAGTAGGTGTGGAGTCAGCTGAGTTAGCTTCTATGCCTCTCTCTTCACCCTTTGGTGCTAGGGGGGATTTGTTGTGGGTGATGAGTAAAAGTGGTTAGAGCATGATGCATTATTCATTCCAGCTACCACAGCTGGCATATGGTCTTTGTGGGACTCTGCCAGCTAGCACATTTCAGTGCAGCCCCTGGGTTGCTCTAATTTGCATCTGGCTCTGGACAGAGAATCATTGAGCTGTTTAGCTTGTTGTCTTTCAACTGGCACTCCTACTCCTATGGTTCTGCTTTACTCATAGGCCAATTGCTAAGAGGTCTTGAAAATGTCAGGAGCCATGAATACAGTGCTATAGCATGCTTTCTCAAGTATAATTTGATATTAGGAAACCTGAATCACTACATCTGATTTTTTAAAAAAAATCATTCATCATATTCTAGGAGTTACAGCAAATGTTTGATGTGCACCTTATTCTTTAACTTTATTATAACCCACTGTTTACTGCAACTCACATTGTTAACAACATAGATCATTGGATAGTGGAATATAAATACTATATATGATGTTTGGCACATTACAGAAACTTGTTAATATCTGTCTGCTTCAGACTGAAAATAAATTAGGGGCTAATCAGTGAAATCTGCTCTTAGTGCTCTTTGTTCATTGCCCATAAATTTATACTTCTATGTTTGACTTAAATCAGCACTGGAATTTGGGATATTAATATTATTGCATTATATGGGTTTAGATATCATTCATCATTTTTTTGTTGAACCAATTTTCCTTGAAGATTCAGAAAGTTTAGAACTCCACTATTTGATTTTTACCAAAGGATCTGAAACTATCCGGTCTAGTAGGATAATATTTTAGTTTTTATCCTTTTAGGAGGACTTCTTTAAAATGTTGAAAGTTAATGTACTTTATAACTTGTACTGTTCTTTTTAAATTTAAAAACAAATCAAAGCACTTGACATTCCAGACATATTGTCAAAGCTAATAACATCCTGACAGCTGTATCGAGCTGTAACTGAAACAAGTTTTTCAGAATATCTAAAGCCAGCTACTCTTACAGTCCATATTCTATACTTGAGCATCTGCAGAAGCTGAGGAAATTTTTGTAAGGGTGTAAGAAATACAGCAACATGGGCAAAGACCTTATCTTCAAGCACTGGATTCTGGAAAGAAGTTTATGTAACTTTTCTCTGCCCAACAAGTCAGTAATGATGATGTATCTTAAAGCCATCTGTGATTCCATTTATCAAGCACAGTGCTTGCACCTCTTCTTTAAACAAATGTGAACTGAATTTAAAACCAAACGAGCCACTACTGTAATATAATTGAGACATTAATCTTAAACTGTCTTTGTATTCACTTTAAGAGAAGTGTTTGACAAGGAAGAAAATGTGTTGGCAACATTGATTAAAACCAAAATTGAAACCATATTTCCACAGGGTGCAGAAACAGATCACTGAACTACGTTATTATAAACAAAGAATTGCAGATGCTATCCTCCTTTCCCCCCTTCTTATGAAGTATGTTAGACCTATTTTTTTGCTAAGAACAACTCACCACAGCTCCTGTTTGGTTTGAGCAAGAGCTCTGTTTCCTTTTGACTCACTTGGCAGAACTATTAATAGTTAATGATGAGGATTCCAGTGCAGTGGTGTGGAAGCTGTACATGCAGGAGGTCCAGCCCATGGGATGAGGGCCTCTGCTAATTGACCATGTCCTGTCAGAATATATGCTCTCTGGTGTCAGACAGCAGTTGATAGTGAGAGCAGGATCAGTTCTAACAGAAAAGTTTCCATAGTGTGAAAAATATACTTTCCAGTAACCAGCTACCTGTAGCATCCTGGTCCTGAATTTAGTCAGAATCATGTCCAGTGATTATAGAGCACGCTAAACCAGAAATGTTAATTTTAAAATAGCCTTTTTACTTATGGCTGTTAATTATCTATGCTGATTTTTGTAAATAAATAAATAAATGGATGTAGTAATAATTTCTTTCAGACCAATCAAATGGATCATTGCAAGTCTCTAAATAGAAAACAATTAAGGGTATGAAACAAAAGCTCCAACCAGTATCAGTGCTCCATTTTGCTGAACTCTGTATAAAAACATTTGCAGAAACATTTGGTGCCCAAAGAGATCACAATCTAAAAGAAGAAGAAAAATCTGAAGTGTATGGGAAATAACTATTTTTAAGCACACATTTTTGAATGCATGTGTGTCCTGCCTTCATTTTCCTATACTGTATTTAATGAGGTTTTAGTTAGCTGACTAGTTTAATTATACAAGAAATTATTTCCTTCAGGTTTCTTTTTCTCTGAATACCTTTGAGTAAATTCCAAGATTGCAGAAATAAAGTGGGGAATGTAGAAATAAAGATTTAGGTCTTTGATTATATTTAGATTCAGTTTTTCCAGGTCTCTCTGAACTATAGAGTTTAAGGGGCACAATTTGGCCTCAGTCCTGAACTGCAGCTTGGTAGCATGCACCCCTGTGCCCACATTGAGTCTCAGACTCCAGTGGGACTTTGCCTGATTGCTGTGGTTTACACTGACTGCATTGAAGGACTGGAGCTGTTTTAGTAGCATAAATAGTTTCAACCTTAATTACCATTATAATTATGTACATATTGTGTAAAAAGTTCTAGTCACTTTTTGCATTTTCACTGTGTATTTCACTGTGATAAAGGATTGCCTATGGTAATGTATTTTTAAACTTGTTCCAAGCAGAGAATCAAATTTTGGGTGCTCCAGAGTTGAGGGTGCAAAATTGGAGAGTGTGTGGAGCCTGTTCTTCCCACTCCAGTGATCATGAACAGGAGGCAGTCATAATACAGCTGCCCACACACCTTGTTCTAGCATCACTATCAGCATACAGCAGTCCCTACAGAGGGAATTTGTGCAGACTGCTGGTGTAAACATATTTATGGTCCCAACTTCTTGCCCATCAGCTTGTGGTTGGAGGGCTGTGCTAATGGGAGTGCAAGTGACACTGGAGCCATTATCCCTGTTCTTGGTCTCTATGGGCATAATGCTTCCAGCCACTACCATGCCTATAACACACTTCTTCCCA